ATGTATCTTGAAAAGGGATGAGAGAGAAAGAAGAGAGAGAGTAGAGAGAGAGAGAGAGAGAGAGAGAGAGAGAGAGAGAGAGAGAGAGAGAGAGAGAGAGAGAGAGAGAGAGAGAGAGAGAGAGAGAGAGAGAGAGAGAGAGAGAGAGAGCAAGTTGTGTTAAATTGCAATGAAAAGATATAGAGAGCATTAGTCAAAAAGAGGGCCATATTGACAGAGGTGAACGACCAGAATCGGAAGAGGGGGGTTGAGATTGATAAGTGCTAAGTGCTGTGCTGCCTGCTCTCATTTACTCTCCCACATTAATTTAATGAGCTCTCCCTCTCTATTATATTTTCATCACTTCTCTGCTGCCTTTTTCTTTATTTCTTTCTGCTCACCTAATTAATTCTTCAATTTCTTTGGCACACCCCACATCAAATTATTTGAACTCAAATTAATTTATTTTACGACGGATTCCAAATCTTTAGCTTTCGATTTTAACTATTACAATGCAGTCCAAATCCACTTCTGTATCATGAGTTTAGTAAATGTGGTACAAATAACTTATATAGCACCGACACAAAAACAGCGATATAGGCAAACTGGGGAATGGACGCAGTAAACGGCATATCCTAAAAATGGGGATTCGGGAGCTTGGGGAAATGTATATATATTAAATATAGGGGTTTATTTATAAATATGTTATATAAAGTTTTTATTTATAAATAAATAATTTTTACATATTTTCATACAAACATATTCAAAACAAATTTTCCTATCAACTACTCCATCCGTTTTTATATATGTGTAGTTTTTCATCTTGTCACATGTCTTAAGAATCTCAATAAACATGCCTTGATTTTAGGAACAAAACAAATTATCCAATGAGACGGATATTATGGAACGGAGGGAGTATCCATTTGCAACATTAAACCATGTAATTAATTAGGGAAACAACAAAAATATTTGAAAATTTGCTAAATTGAAACATGTTTCTAACTTTTTAGAAATTGCAAAACGGCCCATAAAGTGCCCGACAGGTTTCCTCGATTGCCGGACACGAAACGTGTCCGAAACGCAGAACCATTATGAAGTTGAAGTTTTCATGCTACATAGCAGATAACTGAAATATAGCAATTATCAAGTTCAAACCAGATATATCTAAACATTTGTGGACTCCGGACCATCAAATGTAACTAAATCGAAACCTTGCAATAATCAACTAAGCGAATTTCCCGGCTAAAATATTATTTTCCTGTCAAAAAAATTTGAAATTTAACACAAACATGTTGATGCTCTTATAATAAGTAGAGATAATAAAAACAATATTATCTCGAAAAGAAAAGAAAAGAAAAACGTAACATGCAATATTGCAAGATTTAAATAGCAACATAAATGCAGCGGGAGCAACAGATACAACTAACCACATACTTGTTCACCTGTTCATATTTACTGCTCTCTGACACCTCTTTATATACACTGCTCTCACTTCACAAATTCTTCATCTCTACTCACTCAACACACACTTCAAACTAATATCTTTTCTCTTTCTTCTTTCTCTGGTGGTGTTCAAAGTATGGAGTGTAAGAGAATTATGCTGCTGCTTTTGTCGGCTGCAATGGCGATCCCTGCCATGTCAGCACCATTCAAGTTTGTCGATCAGAAAAACTACTATCCAGACCCACATGCAATCCCTCCCCCCACCCCCACAGGTTTTTTTTTTTCTTTTTTTTTTTTTTTTAATTTCTCGCATGCATATTTTATATAAAATAAAATTGAAAACGGAATGCGTCGAGCGAAAAAAAACTAACCATTTGTTGTGTTCTCGCCTCCACAGTTTCGTACACTCCTCCGGCACATGCAACCCCAACACCGTCCCACGGAGGCGGCAGCGGCACACCACCCGGCGGCCAACTTGCGGCACACCCCACAACCTGGCGGCAGCCCCCACCACCACACTCCGACACCGTCCCACCACACTCCGACGCCGTCCCACCACACTCCTTCAACACCTACCCCAACCACACCCATACACACACCCACACCCTCCGTAACTCCACCAATCACCCCCGGCATCACAATACCATCACCCCCATTCGCGTTCGACCCAAACTCTCCACCTTTTAACTGCACGTAAGTACCGCATATACATATATATATATATATATATATATACACTTCATAACTTAACCATTTTATCTTCTTTCTTTTTTCTTCTCAATGAAGTATGAAAATATTCTCAGTTACTGGAAGAATCACCCGACGATAGTATGGGGATTGGTCGGGTGGTGGGGAACCGTAGGCAATGCATTCGGTGTAACAGGCACCATACCGGGATTCGGAGCTCACTTGAACCCTCTAGAAGCGCTTACGAACACGCGTACCGATGGTTTCGGAGAACTCTGCAGACAAGGAACCGCGGCTTTGCTCAACTGTTTGGCACACACTAAGTTCCCGCTCACGGCCGCGCAGGTTAGGAGTAGCTTCGTGGCGGCGCTCGGCTCCGACAAGGCTGCAGCGGCTCAAGCACAGATCTTCAAGCTGGCTAACGAGGGAAGCACCTGAGGAAGAAAAAAAAAAACACGAAAAATTATTTTTACACATGTGAAGGATTTATTACTGATTTTACTGCTTTCGGTTTGGTTATTATTCGTGTACTGCATTTGTTTCTTTGGCATCAGAATTTTCGTTTTTTTTTTTTTTTTGCTTTTGACTTTATGTTTTGCTTGATTTAAAACAGCAGTGGTGAATTTGTTTGGCATGGCATCTATGAATTAATTTCACATTTGTTCACCGTGTTATGTTTTCTATATCTATAACTTTCTTTCTTAAATGGAATTAGGTAGTAAAGTGAAAGTAAGGGAGTATACTTACCACTACAAGTTTAGAAGGATATCAAAATAAATTTAAGATATATAATTAGGAAGCCGCTAAAACAAATACCGTTTATTTCTCACTTCAATACCACCAGCATAAAAAATAAAAATAAATAGATAATGCATTATTACCCTTAATGAAAATTAATACCACACACAAAATGTGTGTGATATAAATTTTATTAAGGGTATTAATGTCATTACCTATTTATTTCTATTTTTGTATGTTGGAGTTAAAGTGAGAAATAAACGGGATTTTTTTAGCAGTCCCCGTATAATTAAACTAGAAACAATTGCCCACAGCCAACCAATGAGAAAAAACCTGACGATTAAAGAAGTAATCACAATCACTTAGCTTAATAGACTGTGATTTAAACAATAGTTTTGGTATACTTGTCACTGTAATGATATGTAGTTTTTTTAGAGTTAAATTAACTCCAGAGAACTGATCTAAAATATTATTTACGAAGACGGAATACCTACAATAATGGACAAAAAATAAGCTCTTTTCTTGGCTTATTGGAGGATTGTCTTATTGGATCCCTAATCTAATTATACAATTGGGTTCTCATAAAATTGCATAGTCTTGTTTTGGCTAATCTTATCTTGGCAACCGAACATGGTCAAAGCATCTCGAGCATTTAACTTGAGAAACCACTAATAATTTCACAAACATACCAAATACAAGATACAGACGGTTAATTACATTTGCAGAGATAAAACAAAAGGTCGAAAACAAGAAAAACAGACGATAAAAATTATTCAGTAACAGAGGGAGGGGTTACTCAGAGTTCACTAAAGTTGCCGAAGCTTCGGATTCTCCAAAGCTGCACTCTGCTTATTAACTGCACAAAGAGAGATAAATAAAAATTAACTTAGAGGCTGTAAAACAACGGTCGAGGAGCCAAAGAGAGAACTTATTCAGCGGGATTGGCCAAAAAAAAAAAAAAGGTATTTTTTCGATGGAATGCTATATACTTTTTAGTCTTGCAAAAAGCTTGATAGAAATATGGGAACATATACATACACAGCCACAGGCACGAATACTAACGTGTATTCCAATGGAAATTTATTACGCAGGATATACGAGTTTTATTATAATTTAAACTGAAACCTACAAAAATAAGTATCAGTACCAACTACGATTCCTCGTTTGCATGTGATCCAGGAGTAACTTTTATCATGTCTACCTGTTAACTCGGATTCGTCAACCAATAAGATTGTCAGACACATTTCGATCAAAAATTGTGAAGTCATATTTGCCACATGGAACCAACAAACTGCTCGTACATATAGCGAAAACTGGAAGCCATACAAAGTGCAAGAGTCTTACGTCGTATATTCTTTTATGTAATAGAAAACAGAAGAAGAAGAAGACGAATACTAAATACAAAGCTACATAGAAGTTAGAACCGAGGAAACCTTCAAATGTGGAGGAAAGATCCTTCGATATCCCTCTTAAGCATAAAACAATAGCACGTCATACGCTCTTAAGCACAAAACAATAGCACGTCATTCGATAGAAGATCACTAAGTTCGAAATCCACCAAAAAAAAAAAAATGAAGAATTAGTTTTCAAGAATTACAGAGACAGGTAGATATAGTGAAATTTGCAACCATAATTTATCCAACCCCATCGGATTGAAATAGTTATCGCCTCGTCTAATCCAACGGCCACTACAATTTCCATCATGCATCCAAACCTCAAAAGAAGCTCGAATTAAACACAAGTAATTCGTAACTTATGTTTATAGATCAAGTACTACATTCAATCTTCCCAATAAGTCCAACAATGCAGATAGTTTCCAATTCAAACTTAGAATCCAACCCTAAACAAACGGAAAGAAAAAAAAACGATGCACGCAGATTAATGTTATTCGGAGACGTGATTAGAAGCAAACCACGAAGATTAACTTATGAGATGGTGTTTGGTTTCAAATAAAAACATATTAAATTAAGTGCGGCAGAATTTTCACCAACGAATTAAAGTCATAAACTTCAAATAAATCAAGATCAATTAATAAATTCTATCAATATTTGAGGGTTTTTTTGGGTAATGAGACATTTGACTTGGAGCCGGGGCTGATCCATGAACTTTTTAACAGAGAGGGTGTGGATTGTCAAGAAAATCCAATAATTTTCGCAATTGAAAAACTAATTCTAATTAGGTTGAATATAGAATCGAAAATTGGAAATTGGAATGACGAAATTTGTTCCCAAAATCCAAATGTGCAGAATTTCAAAATTTTCGGTCAAGTATAATACAAAATATAAAATAACATTGATATTATAAGTGTGTATTTTGGAAATAAATTGAAATTTTCGGAAATTAAAACCGGCTCCAATATCGGAATCTAATTTGTATTCCAATTTTGTCAGTAAAAAAATGAGTAAGAAAGTGAAAATCGGAACTTTCAGAATTTGAAATGAAAATGTTGTTCCGTAATTGGCGATACTCGGATCGAAAAGGCGGGATTCAAAAATTTCGTTTCAATCTTCACCCCTAATCCTACCGTACCCTGAAAAGGTTGTAAATTTGAATATCGAAAAGACAAAAGTCAAAAAATTTCGTTTCAATCTTCACCCATAATCCTACCGTACCCTGAAAAGGTTGTAAATTTGAATGTCGGAAAGGCAAAAGTCAAAAATTTCGTTCCAATCTTCATTCCTGATCCTACCGTACACTGAAAAGGCTGTAAATTTTTTATTCAATTAGAGTTTCTAAAACCAAAAAGAAGACAAAATAAAGGTGGGAGTTTAAAACCTGAAAAAGTTGTAAAATTCTGGTTATCAATTACAGTTTGAGAGAGAGAGAGAGAGAGAGACTAAAGAGTTGTAAAATTCTGGTAATAAAAGAAAAGGAAAGAATGAAAATTAAGTTGGGAAATTTTGGTTATGAAGTAGAGAGAGATTGTGAAAAACAAAAGGAAAGAAAAAAGAATGAAAATTAAGTTGGGAAATTTTGGTTAGAGAGAGATTGTGAAAAACAAAAGGAAAGAAAAAAGAAGAGGTCCCACCGAGACTTGAACTCGGGTTACTGGATTCAGAGTCCAATGTCCTGACCACTAGACCATGGGACCTTATTGTAAGAATATTTGTTATATTCTGTACATATATAATATTTATTGTTTTATTGACAGGTGTCATTAATCCAGGGAATTAGGCTGAAAGAACAGTGGGCGGCCTAGTAGACGCGCGCTTGTAATTGGGCGTGGTTATCTACCTACTTCTATTGATTATTCACAGCTGATGATATATGTGTGTGGTGCATATGTTGAAATTTTGTATAAATCACCAATTAATAATCCAATAAATCGATTAATTAAATAGGGTATCAAATCAAAGTCCATAATATATTTGAGTTTTATAAATGTCCGGCCTATTCTATAAGTCAAGAAATCCTAGTTTGTGACTATAAAAAGAGGGCTTCGGTGCATGTAAAGACCGACTCAAACAGACACATATCGAGCTCTCAAGCTCAAATATCGAGCATCCGCTTTGAATTCATATGTAACATATTTGAATTCAAGGTGTTTATATATATTCGGTTCAGAACAAGCTTCTAAGCTCTTGAATCAATTTTAGAATTGGTGGGATGAATCAGCGTAATTCCCGGAGATTGTAATCCACGTCGTTTGATAATAAATTTATTTGTTCGATATTTTCCTATCTCATTTTTTATTATATTTTGCAGACTTAGAATCCTGTGGTTTACAATGTGAATTGTTGATAAAAAAATTCTTTTTTTTTCCCATCAATGAATGATATATAGCCTCTTCACTAGACCCGGCCACATATGGGTCAGGCCGGGTCCGGGTCCACAAAAATGGGAACTGGCACAAGCCCGGTTGAAGGCGGGTCTAGGCTGGTCCCACGGATCTGACCCGGCTTCAAACCGGATTTTTGTGTTTTCTTTTCTAATTATAATTTTAAAAAAATAGTTAAATTCGATTCAAATCTTTGAACAAATTTTAAATGTCAAAATTTGATTAAATCTTATCATTAGAGATTTTAATCTTAAGATGTTTACAAATTAAAATTTTATTACTTTTTAATGATAAATTTTTAAAAAATAATTAGATTTTAATTATCAATAGTTAATTCGATTAATAAGTTCTTGTCAATATTTGAAATTCATCAATTCAAATATTTAAATAAAGTTTACAAATTGAAAGAACTTGAACTTAATGGATTCAAATCTTACGATTTGATTAAACTAAATATTTAAAAAAATCTCAATATAGTATATTGATTCTACTCCTTATATATAGGTGGTGTTTGCAAATGCTTTTTGAAAGTGATTATGCGGTTTTTTTTGCTCATAATCTATTTTTAGGTATTTGCAAAATCAACTTTTGCTTTTGCTTCTCTTAAAATAATCTGCTTTAAGCTATTTTTTTAAAAGCACCCCTAACCCTGCTTTTTCAATTTTAGTTCATTTTCCGAAATATTTGCAAACACCCCCAACTTTTAGAAATAAACACTTAAAACTAACTTAAATCACAATCACTAACTTCTGCTTTTAAATAATCATTTGCAAACACCACCATAGTCTTATTTTAAAGTAGAAAATTAATTGGAATGAATGATAATCATTTTTTTCTAAATAAGCATTTTTTTCGGATTTGTCAGATTGTCGATTTTGATAACATAAATGAGCTTTTACTAACTAAGGCATTTGTTTATATTTAATCGAGTTAATTGTTTATATTCTTCATAGTGGAGATTTTTAATATTTTTAATATTAATAATATTATTAATACTGAATATCATAATTCGTGATGGATATTTGAGGTATTTATAGGTAAAAACAATATTGAGACTTTATAGATTTTTCAAATTCAAAATTCAAAAAACTCCATACTTCAAAATCTTTCAAAATTCATTTTTATTAAAATTCATGGGTAGAGCCGCGATTCT